AGGATCTCCCGGGATATTGTCCCGTAGTCAGAATCATAAATATGCAAAGGAAACTCTCAGAATACCAATCCGTAGTCCCAAACTAAATATCCAGTACGAGGAATCTACCGGGTGTTGTCCCGTAGTCCCAATCATAAATGTGCGGAGAGATCTACCAGAATACCAATCCGTAGTCCCAAAGTAAACAAGCAGGGGATCTCTCGGGATATCGTCCTGTAGACCCAAAGTAAATACACAACTATCTCAAAAAAGTATACAGTTCTATTCAAAAATTAGACAGGAATTTCTGCTCTAACATGATGCACAAAGTACAAGTAGGCAATTAGCAGGAAAAACAATTAAGTCACGTAGGCATGCTTTTTCCTAATATAAACAAGAAGCTTCAACTATAAGTATTTGCTAAACTACAAGAAAATATGGTATTAGCTTAATGAAAACGAGATTCTCAACAATTAGCACGTGTACGCACTCGTCACCTCACGTACACGACACTCATATACCAACAATACCAAATCCTAAGGGGAGTTCCCCCCACAGAAGTTTAGACAAGCCACTTACCTCGAACCAGCTCAATCAACTCGAAATTACGTTCTTGCCACGAGTACCCGACTTCAAATGGCCCAAATCTATTCAAATTAATTGCATAATGTAAATATAACTTCAAGTAACTAATTCAACTAATTAATTCGAAGCTAACACGCGAAAATAAGAAAAATCACCAAAAAAGTCCCCCGGACCCACGTCTCGTAATTGGATAAAATTTGCAAATTCAGAACCCCCAATCACTCACGAACACACTCAAACAGAAGTAACCAAAATCCGACGTCAAAATCTCACTCAAATCCCGGATTTTCAATTGGGGAACTTTTCTCCCATTTCTGAATTTTTACCCCCAAATTCCTTATTTAGAAGAGGAAAATAATAATGGATTATAGTTCTAGGATCAAAATCAAGATAGAAAACGTTACCCAATGCTTCTCCTTCAAAAACCCTCGAGAAATCGCCCTCAACCGAGCTCCAAATTATTTTTTCCAAGTTTTGAGTTCAAACCCTCGTTTCTTCCCTTTTTTGATCAGCGAATCCGCTTCTGCGACCACACTTGCGGTCCCGCTTCTGCGGCAAATGAACCGCACATGCGACTTTTCATTAAACGGACCAATTTCGCACCTGCAACCTCTTACCCGCAGATGCGGTGCCGCTTCTGCGGTACCTGGGCCGCATCTGCGACCAATTCCAACATTTCCTCAGACCGCACCTGCGTTCCTCATACCACTTCTGCGGTGCCGCACCTGCGGTCCTTATGACAGGTTCAACCAAATTTAGATTCTCCTAAGTCTAATTCAACTTCCGTTGAGCATCCGAAACTCACTCGAGGCCCCCGGGACCTCAACCAAACATGCCAATAAGTCACATAACACTATTCAAACTTGTACCAATTTTTGGAACGCTCACAACAATGCCAAAACACCAATTCACCCTTGGATTTAAGCCTAAGGGTTCCCAAAACTTTCAAATCCCGCTTTCGATCAAAAAGTGTATCAAACCTCGTCCGAATGACCTGAAATTTTGCACACACGTCCCAAATGATACCACAGACCTACTCAACTTTCCGAAATTTCATTCCGACCCCTATATCAAAATTTCACTATTGAACCTTAAACTTCCAAATTTCAACTTTTGGTATTTCAAGCCTAATTAAGTTACGGACCTCCAAAACACAATCCGAACACGCCCCTAAGCCCGAAATCACCCAATAGAGATAACGGGATCGACGAAATTCCATTCCAAGGCCGTCTTCATACTGTTCCGACCACGGCCAAATTCTAAAGCTTAAGCTCTCATTTAGGGACTAAGTGTCCCAAAACACTCCGAAACTCCAAACGAATCCTCCCGTCCGAATGACCTAAAATTTTGCACACACGTCCCAAATGACACCACAAACCTACTCAACTTTCTGGAATTCCATTCCGACCCCTATATCAAAATTTCACTATCGAACCAGAAACTTTCAAATTTCAACTTTCGGCATTTCAAGCCTAATTAAGTTACGGACCTCCAAAACACAATCCGAACATGCCTCCCCTAAGCCCGAAATCACCCAACAGAGCTAACGGGATCGACGAAATTCCATTCCGAGGCCGTATTCATACTATTCCGACCATGGCCAAATTCAAAAATTTAAACTCTCATTTAGGGACTAAGTGTCCCAAAACACTCCGAAACTCCAAACGAATCCTCCCGGCAATTCCGATAGCAGAAATAAATACGGGAAAAGCAGTTAATAGGGGATCGAGACGTTAATTATTAAAACGACCGACCGGGTTGTTACACTATCCAAAACTTACCCGAGCCCTCGGGGCTCAAACCAAACATGCACACAAGTCTTAAAACATCATACGAACTTGCTCACGCGATCAAATCGCCAAAATAACACCTAGAACTACGAATTCAACACCAAAACACACGAAAATTTCAAGATAGTTTCAAAACTTCTATTTTCTCAACCAAAAGTCCAAATTACATCAAATCTCTTCTGTTTTCACCAAATTTTACAGATAAGGTTTAAATATCATAACAGACATGTACCAGAATGCGGAACCAATATACGGGCCCGATACCAATAAGATCAAATCTTTTAAATTATTGCATTTTCAATCTTATCAATTTCTTTCAAAAATTCATTTTTCGGGCTAGGGACCTCGAAATTCGATTTTGGATATACGCTCAGGTCCCATATTTTACTAGGACCCTCCGGGACCGTCAAGAATACGGGTCCGGGTTCGTTTACCCAAAACGTTGACCGAAGTCAACAAAATCACCTTTTAAGTCAAAAATCCTCATTTCTTAAACTTTTCACATAAAGGCTTTCCGGATATACGCCGGACTGCGCACGCAAATTTAAAAAAGATAAAATGAGGTTTTCAAAGCCTCAAAATACAAAATCAGATTCTAAAATAGAAGATGACCCTTTGGGTCATCACAACTATTTATTTTGATTAAATATGCTATTAATTTTTTGGGTGCTTAACTAAACATGGATTAATTATTTTGTTTGATTAAAATAAGAATTTTTAAAATTTATATTTAATTATTTTGCATTGAAACAATTTTAATCAGACATAATTGTATTAAAAGTTTTTAAGTTAATATGTGATTTTATGTTCCCATATTTCAAGTTAATAAGAAATTAATTGAAGGCACGTATAAAATCGTTGCCATCTTGATTTTATGAGTATGGAACAATGACTGTATTTTTAATTAGTATAATTTATATAAGGTAAAATATTAATAATTTTTAAATTATTAAATATTAGGATTTCTTACCGAGTTTAATAATAAAAGATCTAATATGTAAAATTTTAATTAATTTCAAAGTCTTAAATAGCACAAAATCACTTAAATTATAATTTTCTCCACTGTAAAAGTTGTACCTAGTCTCAATGAGTAATTATTTAAATAAATATTAATTTAAAATTTATGTTTCAATTATTAAGAAATGTATAAATTCCTGAAATTAATGAATTCCTATATAGCTAACTCAATTCAAAGAAGCTGTCTCATAGAATTATTCAATTATCATTTAATATATTCACCTTAAACTTTGTTCTAAGATTATAATATTATCAGTTCAATTTTATAAATTATCATATTTTCTTTTTAGTTTCAGCATGAACATACAATTTGTGGAGTTTTTTTCAAGAGTCCTATATTTTAAGTATAACACATAAGAAAATACTTTGACAAATTTGTTGCTAAATAATTGATTTAATATTATTTAAAATTTCAAGAAAAATTTAGAGTTGACGGAAAAAGAGAAAATTAGTTAGCGTTTTCACTTTTGAGTTATAGATGTGTGCCTATTTTTTAGTAGCTTCAAAGTAGTGCAAACATGACAAGAAAAAGGTGCAAATCTGAATTCTTAATTTTAAACATTTTGATAATAAAAGAACGTATAGTTCAATTAAACTTTAGTACTAACTGGCTTTAAATAAGGACACTTATAATTGATAAATTAAATTGATTTTGAAGTTTAATATTATGATTTTTTACAAGTTTCAAATAAGAAAAAATATCCAAAATTCTAGCTGATTTGAAAATTCTAAAACAATAATTAAATGATAATTTTGTCCAATGTAAATTTCGTTGACTTTATTATTTAAAATTTCAAGAGAAAAATTATATTAATAATTCGATATACCTTTTAATTTTGCCAAATATAACGAGTCTTTTACTTTTGAGTTAGAATGTGTGACAAATCTGACGCAAAAAAAAAATAGTGACATTTTGGAATAACAGAAGAATCTTATAATTCAATTCAAACTTTAATATTAATAGGATTTAAGTAGTGAAATTTAGATAAAGTGAAAGTTTAGTTAATTTTAAAGTCATAAATTAATATTATGATTTTTTGTAGTTTAAAGTATTTAATAACCAAAAGTTTAATATATTCCAAATAGCTAAAAGGTTGAACTTAGAGTCCTATTTGAATAAGCAACAAGGATTCACATTAACATTAGAGATTCCTAAATATTGTATAATTTTATTCACGTCATATAAAATGGTTAAGATGGTTAATATAATTAAGGAAAATATATATATATATATATATATAAAAGGTAAGTTGGTTAATTTTTAATTCCTAAATATTAGTATTTCTTACAAACAAGGAAAGAAATTTTAAGTTATTTTTAAAGTCTGTAATATTAGAAAAAATAACTAAATTACAATCTTGTCTAATGTAAAATCTATTTTTAAAGGGTAATAAAGACGAACGACATCTGATTAAGGAGTTTCGCACTTTTAATATAGCATAAATAGATAGACAAAGATGACTAGCCACACGTAAACGAGAATGTGATTCTTTTCATGATTGTTAATAGAGCCATGTAATGTCATTAATAGCTTAATAATATTTCAAATTTCAATGAAGAATAAAAAATCATCATGATTCCAATCGAAAAACTACCTAAATTTCCAAGTTATATATGTTTTCCCAGTAAATATCGTCAAAATTGGAGGGAAAAGGTCTCCATTACAAAACTTTCTTTCCCTTCTCTTTCTTCCTCAATACTCTTCGCCCTCTTTCTAATTTCTACACAGTGCCACTAGAACAAACACAGTAGAGTAGTACTAGTAGTTTTAAAATTTCAAATATTTCAAACTTTACCAATCCCCATTTCTCTTCCCAGAAAACCCTAGGGAAATCAGAGGCAAAATTGACTGAACTTCAATTCTTAATCCAATGGCAGTGGATACCAATTTGGCTTCGTTATTTGAGAAATTAAAGTTGGAAGATCTGTATGTTCCACCCAGACCTTGGGAATCAATTCCTTCAGAATGCGGCGGCATTTCTTCTTCCAATTCCGCTAACACTAATCGGTCTTCCCATGTTCAATACTCCACTTCCGCCGTTTCTGTAAGAACCCTTTTCATCTATGACATTTGCACATAGGCAACGTACGTATTAATTCCGTGATGTATAGCTGGTGGAGTGTTGTTTTATTACTTATGTATTGCTATAGCATTTTTTTTGTTTGGACACGTCCTATGAGATTTTTTACATTTTTCCTCATTTTTGATCGAATTATGTGCTTCTTTCGCTGTTTTCGTAAAGAGCACTTTGATTTTAGTGGGAAATTTTAATTCTTTTTTCTGTTAATTCGATGAGAAATCAAAGCGGCAATGTACAAGATTAATTGCCTAGTGTACAACAGATGAGGATTGTTTTGTGCTTGTGTCTTAGTGAAGACCGTTACACTATTAGGAAGTTGGCACTGCTTGGCATAGGGCTCAATGAAGCTGAAAATAAGACACGAGACTATGAGACTAGGGTTCAATCCTAGCAGAGGCAACAAAAGCTAGGTGATTTATTCCCATCCGTCTAAGAATTTTGACAGAGTTATTTTGTACATTTGCTAATGTATGGAAACAGGTACTGTGGATTTATTGAGGCGTACGAGAGATGGCCGGACGCTACCGTTATAAAGTGTTACTCATAGAAAGTTGCATTTATGAACTAATTTATGGACAGTTGCAATAAAACCACTAATACGTTAGTTCTTCTGTACCTTAACTTTTCAAGCAAATCTAGAGTGACATGTCACTGCTACATGACTCACTTAAGGTAGGAACAAATTTCCCATGTATGTTTTGGTGCCAATTAACAGCTCAGTTTTGCCTCAATCCCAGGCTAGTTGGTCTCGGCATATAAGTCCACACTATTATTTTCGAGTTCTCGAGGTTCTCTATAATTCTTACTGACATATAAATCTAAAAAGTTAAAAGCGCTCCCATGAACACTAGTTGTAATGTATACTAACATAATGACTAAGCCCTAATCTCAACTAGTAAGTGTCGCCTATAGGAGTCTTTGGCTTCTTCCCCTAAATTTGCATGGATCTCGAAGGAATATAAATCTTTGAAATAACATCATTCCATGTGATCTTTTGGTTATCTCATGTACTAATCATTGCATTTGGAGGCTTACGTAGGACATGATCGAAACATCTCAAGCGACCTTCATTCATTTTATTCTATGTGTGTGCTACTTACACATTCTATCAGATGTTATCATCTGATTTTATCGAATCTTAATACACATCCATCTTAACATCCGCGTTTCTGGCACTCATATTGTGGATGTGATGGACTTTAAAGGCTCAAAAGTTCTTTCATATGAATTGGTGGTCTCATCACTGTTCTATGGGACCTGATAACTGAGAAATGGGGAGTCACATTTCACTTACAAAATTTTTATTTGCTATGTCTATTGTTATTTCAATTAATTTGAAGCCAAAGTTAAGGGGAGATTGGGGAACCTTTTGTGATATGGCACTAAATGGAAATGCGAAATTTGTTTTCTCCTGTAGTTTGGATTTTCCTAAGTTCTAAAGTTGCAATGGGTGTAAGTAATTGATAAATGTTTTAATTGCATATTTACCGTTTAATGGTTAAGTGCGGCTTTTGAATATTTTTCGGGTTTCTACTTTCTACTGCAATTCACCTTTTGTTGTTGTTCATTAAACGAGGAAGTGGGAATGGAAATTACCAGTTTGAGTGCATAATATACAACCTATGATACTGCTCTATGCTTGATTCTTGCTGGGACATGTTTTGTTGGTCATGTTCTTTGAGGTTCTATTGTTTTCTTAGATACTCAAGGCTGAACATTCTCTTTTTCTTGTGACAAGATAGAAAGTTGCATTATCTTTATGATTTCATCTCTTGTGATATTACCATTTTATGATGAATGAACTAAGAGTTTTTTCTTCCTTCTAAATTCTGGAAAATGAAAAGACACTTTACCTATTATTCGAACATTCATCCTTTCAGGAGTCTAGCTTGGTGAGACTGACATTGGATGCTCTGCAAGGTGTAGAATCAGTTCTGATATCTATTCAAAAGCTTTCTGCTTTATTTTGTTTTGATTCAGCTGATAGATCCTTCCATCATATCCCAAGTTTGTTGACACGGACTTCAAGCACCCTTGCTTTGGGAAATCTACTCAAATCTATTGGGCGTTTTGGTTGCATCATTTTCCTCCTTCACAAATTTGTCGATCATTTTACATGTTTAACTCCAGATGGGAATTCAGATGAGGATGAAGTTCAAAAGTATGATGCTAATGATGGTGTGGGACGTCGAATGAGCAATCATACACTTGTTAATCAGGCTTTCGCAATTTCTGTGGCGAAAATCTTAGATGGGTATACCTCCGCCCTAAATACACTATATGCTTCTGTCAATTTTAGGCGTTGCTTGAAGTCCAAGGGTGGAGGCTGTTTTACTAGTGTTGGGCATGGCGAAATTACATTGCTAGAGGCTTATCTGCACTCTGCAGGACTAAGAACTCAGCTGGATGTGCTTGGTAATATCTGCAATATGAGTGATCTAGCTCTTAGATATTCTGAATTATCTCTTGAAGAAATAAGTGCCAAAGCGTTTTTAGAGTTTAATAATTTCCCCAGAAGTGGTGCTCTGCTCACTTTCTTGTACACACAACTAAAGGTTAGCATCATATAGAAGCAGTTCATTTAGTGGCTGTTCTACACTTTGACATTCTTAAAATTGGATTCCTGATGTTCTTTTGCTCATTCAACTGTATGTGCTTGATCTGGTACTTTGCCGATTCATGAAGGATTACATTGTGCATGTTTAGCAAGTCACACATGGTATTTGATTATCATCTTGGTGTAAATGCTTCATGGATTATGTGCTACATATTTCTTTCCTTTCTATATCTGAGGAGGAAAGCAGCCAGTTATTAGTAGATATGTGGGAAAAGAGCGATGTAATAATGTGTGCAGAAGGACACATATCCATAGACTTCACTGAGGCTAGAGTAAACCTGTTTCCTATTTTGTGCCTAAATTTACGTTACCACCTGAAAATGCTACTGAAATATCCAAAATGGTTAATCTGATTCTGCTAAGAGATTTTTGTAAGTAGGAAAGAAATAGCCTGCATTCTTAATGGAAAATATGTAACTTAAGGTATTTAACTGCGATGTCGATATTGTCCAAATGGTGCACTCACTATTTTTGGCTGTTACAATAATGTGTGGTGCTAAGTATTATTCCATTCACCATTGTGGAAAAAGTTACATTTTGGGTGAAACAAGGTGTGAGATTTTATGGATCTGAACTTTTTGTATAAGATATTAAATAAGGTGTCTCTTTTGCTTATTATTGATATCGTTCCTTGGATTTTTTTTTGGCTAGATGGCTGATCCAGCCCATTGTGCTCTCCTGAAGTTCCTGTTTCTACGTTCATGGGAACCGTACTGTGGATTTATTAGAGCATGGATTTTTGAAGGTAGAATTGCTGATCCTTTTAAAGAGTTCATCGTGGAAATTGTGAAAGAGCAACCTGATCATGAGCCGGGTAACACTGGAATCTCTAATGACTTCCCATTAGCAAGTGTTAGGGTAATGCTGTCTGTCATTGCCTAGAATTTGGAGTTTTAATTTTTTTCCAATGCTGATATGCTTATTGTGTCAACTTTGGAGTCTGTTTTTATCATCTGCTACTCAATATCTCAGGTGCGACAGGGAGTTTTACCTTTGTTTCTGGAGGATTGTTTGCTTCCCCTTTTCCGAGCAGGTCAACAGCTTCAAATAATAACAAAGTTACTTGAGTTCTGTGATACTTTTGGACCATTTAACGGTATTCATGAAGAACTCCTTCCTGGCATCGATGGGTTTTCAAGCGAATTCCCAAGCTTCAGATCGTCCTTGTTATTTGAGAAAGGAACTATTGAGACAATGGTGGTTTCAAGAAACAGTTATTACCAAAGGATGCTGGAGAAAGTTGACAATGTTTTCACTAAGATGGAATTCAGATTTCGGGAGGTAATTTTTCAGAGGCCACTGTTCCAGTATCATCTTTCTTATATATCTTTTGCTTTCCTCTACAGCTGTAGGATCTGTGATTTTTTTTTTCTTTCTAGGATAACAAGGTGTGTTGAATCTTGGCTAATTGCTTGCGCTGGTTTATCTATTAGAAACTATGATTTCTGTATGATTGTTTATCCTGTTAAAGAATCTCTAATTTGATATCTTCTGAGAGATAACAACAACAACAACCAAAAAAAGAAATCCAGTGTAATCCCACAAGTGGGGTCTGGTGAAGGTGGTGTTTACGCAGACCTTAGCCCTATTTTGTGAAGGTAGACAAGCTGTTTCCGATATATCTGCTGAGACATGATTAAGTAATTATTTTTGTGCTCTCTCTAACATCTTAAACCTTTCGATAAGATGGTGACATACCTCAACATGGTATGAGAGCATGCAGAGGCCCAGGGTTCGAGTTTCCCTGCCACCCATTTTTAAAAAAGAATCCACGTGTTTGGTCCGTGAAAAAGAATTAGGTCCGCACATGAGTGGGCGTGTTGAGGCATAATTAAGTAACTAAAAGTATTTTCTCTCTAACAACTTAAGCTTTTAGATGAGATGGTTACACACTTCAACAATATACGATGTGGGAACACCAACTTTTACTTCTGCTTTTCACTTCTGACTCGAGGTAGTTCCTGCAGTTGTTCTGGTTTATCTCGTTATATATTGGAGATTCCACTGAGATTGAATAATCTCGTACTTAATTCTTTGCAGGGATGTTAAACATAGTCTGGATAGCTGCTTTACTTTTGGTAATGCCTAGATATCAGTAAAAAGTTTCAAGGAAGAGTTCTTTTGCCTCCTGAAAATACTGCACTAGTATTTTTGAAGTATGAATTCTGTTTAAATTAGGGAGAAGAATATGGATTAATTTAGATATTGAAGTAAAAAAAAAATGCCAACAGCAGGTGATGAATCTTGTCTAAAATAAATTAAGTTTTTCTCTTCTCCACTACAAGATGGTGATTATTTTAAAAGACATGTTAGATATTCTAACCTGGTCCAACTTATTTAATTCTTTCTAAACCTGCCTGCTGCCTTGGAAAATGTGAACATCAGAGGCCTGACATGATGTGGAAGTTTTTTTGTTTAAAAGTTCAGATTGTGGTCTTTTTCAATGATTCTGATATACCCATTGATACTGGGTTCTAGTTGAAGTATGAAATCTGTTTAAATGAGGGAGAAAATATGGATAAATTTAGAGATTGAAGTTAAAAATGCCAACAGCAGGTGATAAATCTTGTCTAAAATAAATTTAAGTTTTTCTCTTCTCCACTACAAGATGGTGATAATTTTAAAGATGTGTTAGATATTTCTATCCTGGTCCAACTTATTTGATTCTTTCTAAACCTGCCTGTTGCCTTGAAAAATGTGGACATCAGAGGCCTGAATGATGTGGAAGTCTTTTTGTTTAAATGTTCAGATTGTGGTCTTTTTCAATGATATTGATATACCCATTGATACTGGGTTCTAGTTGTTCTTTCTACCATAAAGTGCTGCAAAGTTACATCTGATACGTGTTTCTAAGATACTTTTGGAATATCAATTATCAACAAAAAGTGCAAGCTAATAGTTTGGTATTAGTTTGCTATATTTTGTTTGTTCATTGCTTGGTGAGTTCAAGTCAAGATTCGTTCAGCGAGGTTGAATATAAAGAAAGAGATAGGTTCCGGTAAAAGAGTGATATTGGACTCAACCTGTTCTGGAGTTTTACGTACACAACTTTCACTTCATGAAAAGGAACACTGGCTTTCTTGATGTCATAAAATCTTGAGTTCTTGATCTTTTATGATCTCCTAACAGCAATGTGATGGAATTTTAAATTTTTTCCTTTTTTCTGGTCTTAAATCGTTCTCTATAATGACATGTTTTTACTCTAGAATAGTAGGGAACAATCTTTTTTCCCCCTTAGTTTGGATGAATTTTTGGGGGAGAGCAAGGGCAGTTAATATGAAAATTGACAAAAACTCTAGTTCCTTTCAGGTATAAATGAAAGGGAAAGAAACCTTCTTTGGCGAAATCTGTGATGCCAAAACTGACCTTTGATATTATGAACTTAAAAATGCATATAAATGTATTAAAGTCAAGGTAATACCAGTTTGTTCCTTTTTTCTTTAGATCAAACCCCAAACTAAAATTTGATGCTCCTTTCCATTCTTCTTGTCTTCTTTACTTTTTTTTTTCTCCCTTTCTTGTTTTTGATCTAAACCATCCATTGTTTCATATAGTTTTCCACCTGTAGATGATTTTCCAAGTCCTGCTACCATGGATGGAAAAAAGTGAACATTAGAGAATTTAATTTGTCCAGTAAAAGGTCGTGACAATCCCTCAATAGAAGTGTCACTTTTCCTTTTTCTCATGTATCTTTTTCCAATGTAATAATATGTGAAAAATGAAATAAATGACAATTTGTTTTTGTCTTTGATGGTATGTAACCATGTCTTATATATAGTACTGTCCTTTACCTGGCATATTCTCTGTTTTTCATATTTTTTTTTCCGCTTAAAGGTATAATGTAGTATTATTCAAACCAAATGTCTCAAGAAGATTTGTATCAAAAAGATTTTTAAAGAAAAAGGATTTCCTATGCGTTTTAAATAATAAGACGCATAAAGGTCTTCTCACTAACATATTCTTCAGTTCCTGAACCCATGTAATCACTCATGAGCAATATGAACAGTTTCAGGTGCTAAAGTATGTAGAATTAAGATGTAACCCCCCC